AAGAGGTGAATTTTAGAATTTCCCAAAGAGTTCCAGGGCCGGATTTTCCTACTTGCCGCCCATGGGACGCCTGTATTTTGCCGTCCCCTTCTCATTCGTTTTTAAACATCAATAAAAACCATCAAGTGAACGTGCCAGCGGGGGAGGGGTGCATATGACGCGTTTACTCGTGTTGAACACATTTTTTGGGAAAGCCCTGTCAACACTACTAGCAAAAGGTCACGGAACTTTGCGCGAAAGTCAAGTTTCGTAAACCTATCTATAATGGACAAGGCCTTCCATTCATAAGATATGAACGAAAAAATTATGAAAGAACAAACACAAAATTTGGTTTAATAATTTTAACTTCCGCCGCCGCGCCGACCGCACCGTGTTTGGCGCAATGCGTGAAGTATTCACGCAGTCTTGTAGGCGCTATGCGTTTCACGCTGACCGTACTGTGTTTGGCGCAATGCGTGAAGTATTCATGCATTATTGTAGGCGCTATCCGTCTCACGCTGACCACAATAACCGCACCGTGATTGATGCAATGCGTGAAGTATTCGTGCAGTCTTGTAGGCGCTAATATGTGTTACATGCCGATTGCCACGCCGAGGGCTTCTCCTTTTCATCTCAAGTCCTCGTCATCATTTCTCTCTAAGTTCCAGGTCAAACTGTGTGTTTGGTTTATCTCTTAACTCGACTAATTAAAGGTGCTGTCTCTTGTATCACTGAAAGACGACAAAATTAGAAATTACTATACTCTCAGGAAATGAGAGATTTTGTAGCCTTTTCTCGTTTGTAATTTCTTTTTTCTGAATCCGATTTTTTTTATACCTACATTTAAAAAAATTGCAAAATTTGCCGTCCCCTAGATTTGCCGCCATGGGCCGCGGCCCATATGGCTACCCCCTTAATCCGGCCCTGAAGAGTTCATCGTGATTTTTCCTAGATGTCGTTTGCGTTGTTTATCTGAGTCTCCGTTCTTTTCGGACGATTTTCAGTAATGTTAAGACCTCGTCTTCAGGGGACATTCCATGTGATATGTCCAAGGGAAAAATCTCATTTGTGAACTTGAGAAAAATATTGAGTTGGTCACTACTAATCACAGTTCCAAGTAGGGTCCTTGCATTGAATTCCTCGGAGAGAGATTCGAGACCAACAGAGAGAGAGGAAGAAGGAGTGAAAGTAAAATTGTGTGACATTTCGTCCTTTACTCGATTGTTCGTGTTTTTGTAAATTAAATACTTTTTCAATTGTTAGTTGTGCTCAATAATTATCTTGATACCGATTAAATAATAGGTTCTTACTGATTTATCTTCCCGTGTAAACTGGTTGCAGGAACGTAAGAGCCCCGTCTAACTGCGCTGCCGAGATAGCGAAGAAAGCCGTAAGTGCAAAATTTTCGAAATCGAGTTTTCTTCAAAATTCGTCTAAACTCTGTTAGATAAAATTACTGAGACAGCTTAAACAGCAAAATTCACCCTAATTTTATGAAAACGAGACGTATGAGAAAGCTGTAAGTGCACAAAAAATGACATAGTTTTTTTCAAGACAGCCGCAGGTGCATGGGAGCCAATAAAAACAGTGCTTTCCAGTAAGGTGCCGCCCTCTTCTGCCAATTTCTAACCTGAAAATGTGTTTGCTAGGCGTCCAAAACGCAACCACGAAAGCATGCAGAAGATAGCACTTACGGCTGTCTTGCCTAACAATAACCTAGCATGAAAATGAAAAATACCCTTTTTATGTAATGGAAATAAAATCAGTCAATTTTTAATCATCCATACGATTTCTAGGAGTCTTCCGGACGATTAGTAGCAATTTGACAAAGAACGGAGGCTTCTTTAAATAAAATATTCCGGTCAGAAGCTTCTGAGCTCGTTTTCTCAGAACTTCATTTTTGCACTTACGGCTCTCTTCGCTATCACGGCAATATGGTTAGCACATGCTTTTAAGTGTCTCAAGGTTTATCCCAGCATGTACTTACTGCTCTTTTCGCTATCACAAACTCCCCAAAGGTTCATTCTCGGGATTCGATCCTGGCACAAATTCTATGAAAGCGTCCCGTGGAGACAAGGCCCTCGATTCCATTTAAAAGTGGCAACATGCGGGAGTAAAAGCCAAATTACTCCTCTTTTGACCACCGGAAAGCTTTTCGAAGTTCGTTTTATTAGTACTAATCTCTGCCCCGTTTTTCAGACGCGCCGAGCAAAACGAACTGTAAAGCCTGCGGAATGCGTTATCGGGGCTGAATGTCTACGTTGTGACGGATTGTTTTTCTTCCCCTTTGATTTCTCCATTAAAGTACGTAAAGTTGCCGAAGTACCTTTTTTGGCGTTTCGTTCAGAGCGATGCTCTCTTTCGCCGACTGATGTGCATGAGTCACATCGAAGTCTATGACAATACTTGCTCAGATATGAATAAGCGCTATGCTTCAAAATCAGGAAAACTTAAAATTTTCACAATACATATGGTTTGCATTTAACATACATATAAGTTGAGTGCATAAAATATTCAATTTTCTCTTTAAAAAATCAATTTGTGTCCGTCCGTATTCAATATTTGAGGGATGCAACTGTATCCCTGTAAGATGTGAGGTGTCTTCTATCCGTAAAAACAGCCATGCAAACTTGCATGGTCTTTAATTTGTTGTTATTTGTACATGTGACACCGGAGGCAAATTTTCGCGAAAGGACGTAAACAGCTTTTTCGGCATCATCATAGAACTGGAGCTCCATGAGCTAATCGGTAATGCTTTTTTTGGTGACATGTCACGGCAAGAGGAACTAGAATTAAATTGGAGAAATTGGGATACTGTATTGCTATCATTCATGTTTTATACTTTTCTGATGTGACCGATTCTGTACATAAGTTTTAATAAAATAACATTTTTCGTAATCAATATATAATCTAAAACTTAAAATGATAAAAAAGTTAGCTTAAATGATAACAAGAGGTTAAACAAAATGAAGTCAGATCATGAAAAGTCTAAAATATAGGTTAACAGGAGACTTTCGCTCGTAGTTTTGTGCAAGAGGCGTACATGTCAGGTATAATTAACTACGTGGCGTGGAATCAATTGATAAATTCAATTCATAAAAATAACAATATAACATATAATAAACTACTAACAAAATGTATAACAAATAGGTGAATATACAAGGTGCAATATTCTTCTTGTTTTTAACAAGAGGCAAAAACTACTGAGTACTTTCAAAATACAAATTTTATGATACTGAGCGTCGTCATGAAAAAAGGAGGCTTTCACCCGTAACTATCTACGTAGGTATAATGTGTGTATCTTGTTTGATAGGAGAAAGTTTTACAAACATTAACATTTTATCGGGATACTATGCCAAATACTGAATTTTAAGAATTGGTATATTTCTTAAGAATTTTAAAAAATAATGAGCAAGTGATCGACTGTTACCAGCTGCCGAACTGAGAGTTGAGAGTAAACGCCTGTGCGAAATAGTTTTCGTCTGTAACTAAAAAGCACCCTTGGTTAATAATAATCATATACTCTAGAACGTGTTTTCCTGACTGACAAAAGTCTCTGTTGCGGATGAACGAGTCAAAAAATTGAACGTTGGTTTCCTAATTTGTTACGATCAAAAAATTGTGAAAAAAGATTTGTTGCGCATTTTGTCTATCACCAAATGTGTGTGCGTTGCTGAAAATCAACTATGTATCCTTCATTACCTTATGTGACTATATTCACTAGAAATATAATGACATTGAATCGATCTCTTTTTTTCTACGGTGTTAATAACTCCGTTTTGTTAAAGCACCGTCAATCAAAGGTATTTACCAACCCACTAATCGTATATCTTGACATTAATTCAAGAAACGCTTTAGTCCATTAAATATATATCACAAACGCGTCAATAATTTTTCATGGAAACGCAAAAAAGCTAGAATACATAGATTTTCGTTGAAAAGTTTGATACTTTAGAATTTGATAACTAATAAGAACATTTTTTTGACTGTTTTGTGTATTATGTATCCGGATTAACGGAATCTCCTCAAATTTTGGAGAGTAGTCTATTCCGCTTGAAAATCAATACAAGCAGTCCCAAGAGAATTTAACATTAACTGGGATTGTATTTGTCATGTTCACAGTGGGCATGGATAAGAGATTTGAGCAGAACCGGCTGCATTTGATAAAGAGTTATGATTTATGAAACGTGAAAGTAGGGGGCTAAGGGCTAAAGACAGCATGCAGTTTCTACATAACTTCAATTCTTAAACTTTCTTCGGTGCTTTTGTTGAATGCTCAAACATTATGATTAATTCGTCGCATTTTTTGCGTATGATGATGCTTATGAGAGTTTTAACAACGCAAAACCCTCGTAAAATCTTGCAGAATTTGCTCCTTTTTTTTGATCAAAACAAACGGCTTTACAGGGTGGCAGAATAAGAAACTGTTTTGAACAGGTCAAGCCGGCCCCAGAATCAAATTCAATATCAACGTGTCGACCAGAATTTTTCCCGTTGTGATCGCGTGCCTTTCTGCCCCTGAGTGAGAGTCACTTTTGAAAAATAAATTTTTTGTCTTATTTATACCCATATAACACGACGGACAAAGAGTCCCTCCATTAGTATATTGGCAATGGTGAAAGCTTTTACTTTCGTGACTCCGACCTTCAAATGTTGACTTTACCTTCTAGGTGGATGGTTAACAACGTGTTGAGAATTTCGTTTTGCAAACAAACCAAAGTTTGGCTCATAGCGTCACTCGAGGTTCATCATTCACCTTGCACTGAGAAAAAAAGTCGCTTGGATCTAGATTCCAGACTCTTAAAAACATTGACAAGAAGAAATACTCTTGATTCGATCGGACTTTTTGCTTGAATCAAAAAGAAATCCGCCCAAATCAAGAGGCTCGGCTCTTCGATTTAAGGAAAAATCGGATTGAATCAAGAGTATTTTTTCTTGTCAATGTTATTAAGAGTCTTGACTCTAGATCCAAGTGACTATTTTTTTCCCAGAGTGTAGGTAAGTGTCAACAGCCAAAAAAAGGATGATGACTTGTGCTCCCTTAAAATATTCCATGAGGAAGTGTTCAATCCCCGAAAGTAAAAGCCTCCATCCATTACCAAGAAGCCAGTGGAGGGGTATCTTGTCTCTGCACACGCTCCTGCAGTATTACCATTTAATCCTGAGACAGACACTCTGTACAGATACTGTAACATAAGGGTGGATCTTAAACAGTGGCGAGGCGTGAATGATCGATTATCGATATTTCTCCATTTGAAGCTATGGCAAAGAATCGATTATTTAGGCGTTCGTTGCGAAAACCCTATTTATCGAACTATTTCCATAGGTTTAAATGGAGGATCAATCGAAATCAATTTATCGCAAAGCAGTCATCTTAAACGTCTATGCGTTCGATTTCGTCGGCGAGGCGATTAAGATAACTGCGGTCGGGTGCGGAGTGGGCGGCACGGTCAGGCGGCTGCTGGTTGGTCGAATATCAGCGAAGCGGAAGGCAGAACATGGACTGGAGGAGGTTCCTGGAAGAGGGGCGCTCGGGGGGCCCGGGCCCCGGCCGGTGCTCGTCTGGGAACTCCGGCGAGGGGATGTCGAAGATGTCGTCATCGAGGCCACCAGCGTAGCCCCACTCGTGACGTCACACCAAGTCCTCCGCCTCCATCGACATCAGGATCGGGTTCACATACTCGAAGCCCTCGAATTCCGTCTGGTCGATCTTCTCGATCACTCGTCTGAAACCAAAAACTTACACTGAGAACAAGGGCGCCTTTTCAGGTACATTTTGGGAGGTAGTAAGAATAATCACAACACTGCGGGCTGATTTTTAAAATTGATGGACAAAGCTTGATATACTGAAGACAAAAATTATACGGAGGGATCCTGGTGGTAGTGGGTGGTTGAAATGGACATAGGAGGTAGATAATAGACTAACTAACAGCAACCCACGAGAGACCCGATAGTTAGTCCATCATTTACTCCCTTGGTCTATAAGAACCACCCATTCCAACCAATAGGATTGCTTCATACTCCTTGTGTCTTCCTTGTCTATCGCTTTGTCTATAGATTTCAACAATCAGCCCGCTGACAGAGAGTCACGAGCTGTATTGAAATACTTTCCGTTCCGGGCTCAGAAGCCGAAAGTTCATAGCATCACACTTCTTATTTTTCTTTTTTTTTTGCAGGATAAAATCATTCTTATTCCGTACAATGATCTATATCTAAAGTTGTAATATTGAATTCCACTCAAGTTTCGTTAAAATTGTCCTCATTGCGATGTTAATCTCAGGATCTTTCTGAAACCTCCCTCGGTTACTATATACACCATACAGGATCTTCTAAAAAACGAAGTTGTTGAGGGAGCGACTGTGAATACGGTCCTAGGTTGAGTGATACAATGGGATACCATGATGCGGTAGATGACGTCATGCATCGTAATTTTCAAAATACGATTGTAAAACGAATTTGTGTAGTGAGTCTAGTTAACAATGAAAACTACAAGAATCCTGAGAGCTGATAGGCGAGGAGGAACGGCAATCGCTGCACCGCCGCCGCGCCGCCGCGTCGCTGAAGCGTATATGGGAAACGGTGTTAGAGCGCCTTCAATTTTGAAGACGCAACACTTCGTGCACCTGCTACGACAGTCCAATAGTCTGCTCTCTCGCTATTTCCCATGAATTTGCAATACCAGTGTGTTTTATTTTATGCGCTTATGGATGTAGTCTGAGTTTTGAAAAATATCCTTAATTATAAATGAAAATATAAACATTATACTTGTTCAGATTGAATGTCATATAAGAGGATGGAGAAAAGAAAGAACCCACCCTCCTTACCTTAAAAATAGATAATACAGTATAAGGGTAAAAATGAAATGGTAGAGCCATGAGAATTAGTTCTATCTTTTATTACTTCGTTTTTTTAAAATAAAAAAACGGGCGGCAAAGGAGCCAAACATGAACACATTTTTCATGCAACAAATAAACTAATAAGTACAAACGACACGAATTTGACTACAAATGAATTTTTCAGTTTATTGAAGGGCTTCTTTGCAGAAGCAAATAGAAAGAAAACTTGATGATGACTTTGAAAAATGCTCTAATTTTATGATGGAGGAAATAGGTTATGACTTTTGAATAACTGGTGAGTATGTTATCATTCGGCAAGAGTTTTAGAGTGCTCATCGTAATGGATTGCGGAATTATTTACAAAAAGGGTTATAATTTACTTGAGATAATTGTACGTTGGACAGAAATTCTCAAAACCTGGGTTTTGAAACATTGTGATCACTAATGTACATATACAATCAATATTATCCGCATCTTTCCTCGCTTAGTTCAGCGGCAAATGTTTGATATCTTAATTAGGTATGAGTAAAAGGATTTTATTTCCCTCTATTGCATATAATTCCTGCAGTTCTGTAGTTCTAACCGCATTGTGTAACATTGTGATAGGAGTTACCATTTCTCGTTTTCCCCATTCAAAATGTTTTATTCTTGGTAAACTCTCGTACAACTTTACCATTTGACAATTTTGCCGCCTCATTCAATGAGAGCCATGAAATTGATTTGCAAGGAATGATTTCAGGATTTTGACTTTAAACACCTAGAAATTTAAATTCTCGTCAGCTGGGGCATGAGTATGATGAATACGCTGCATGTTGTTAAATATGATGATGTGAAGAGCTAATGAGCTTTAAAAATTTATTTCATGCACATAAACATTACTTACCTGGTGTTTGCAATGTGCATTACAATTATGGGATCTAAAAATTACGTGGTTGAGTTAAAATAAATTGATTAAACTGCGGATGGATGGAGAAAAAACCAGTTGTAATGATGTATCGTAAAATGTATTACTTTAAGCAGAAACTCGGATGAAAGTTTGTCCAGTGTTGAAAAAAAGTTAAAACAGTGTCTCCTTTGCTTTGGAGAAACGCATACATCCGCATGGAGCCAGTGTGATAATTCGGGCATATTCTTTCGTTATGAGGCTCCTTCAAACTGCGATGATACCGCAGAACTTACACGTCCCAAGAATGCCCTATGCCTCGGCCTGTGTCTCTGTTTCAAACACATTGCCTGCTATCGAACATGATTAGGAAGGATAATTTTTTTTCGTACACATACAACGCTCTTAAGTGTTTGAGCACAAGTGCTTCACCATTGGGGGGGGGGGGGAGGGCTTAGCCAAAGGCACACTTTAACACAAACTACATAGAAGTGTAGAGACTTCATATCTATGTGAAAGTGCTTGCCCTCTTTGAAGTACATTTAAGTACGTATGTTGAACGAGTCTCATGGTCTCGCAAAGTGAATGTCCTATCATGTTCAGCTCGCTGGATATTATGATACCAGTCAGGAGAAAATTTCCTGTTTGACTTAATTTGGGTGGACAGATTCCAGAAAAACCTCAATTTTTCATGTCCTGTTTTCATGAGCGTTTCGTTAAAATATATTCGTTTTACGTTCCTCATTATTTAGAAGTCACATCAATAGACCAATAGACTGGACAATATGTTAAGCACTACGACGTAAATTTCCTCTTCAAAATATCACATTGAACAATGCAGAAATATAAAAAAAAATTCCGAATTTAACTCAAAATTCAACACCAGAATTTTCATTACTTGTAAATTCAAACCTTGCCGAAAGTTTGTACGCATCAAACCATTTTCTTCACAATTCACAAATAAGGTGTATGAGAGTATGGAGGAAATTGTTTTTAAAATCCAACATAACCTGATTTTCAAACAAGAATTTGCTTTCAATGAGCAATTTGACAAAGGTTGATTTTTTATACACGTAAGTCGTAAAATTAACATTACCAATTTCATTGTAAACCATGAACCTTCATATTTTATTAGATGCCTCAGAACTTTATTAACAAGTTTGACAAGTTCTGCATAACATGGGACTGGTTGTTAGGGACGGAGGGGGGACGGGACGAAAGCGCAAGATTAGCCCTTGTGGGCTACTTGAAGTAGAAAAAAAAAAAAATTTTTTTTGACGAGGAAACTCATCTTGAAGTGCTTTAGTTCTTATCCTCTATAAAGGTCCATTGATTTTTTTTTCTTCTTTTTTTAATTGGTTAAAATACTTAGGGAACTACACAGTATCAACCCTAAAAACTAATTTAACCCGTGAGATGATCAGTTCAAATACCTACTTACATTTCATCAGGTGTAAGGTGGACCAGTTCCTCGGTAAAATGTGGCGGGAAGTTTGAACAGTCGCGATCCGAGATCAATCGAGGTATAAAAGGTGTGAGCACTCGTTTCTCCTCCAACTGTGGGCAGGTTCATAGCTACAGCAAACTACGTCTACGCTAATCATCATCTACGAAATGATTCAATCATCAACAACACGATTTTCTTAATCTTCGAATGAAAATAATCCGAGAGGATAGTTTCAAATGAGGGGGAATTTATACTGAAGGTGACCATACTAGACAAACATCGTTCCACTTATCATTTTGGTGGGTAAAAATAAACTTTTTTAAAGGTATTCTGTTTTGTTGAATCAAAATATTTATCCTTGGAACAACAGTACTCTTGAGTATGGAAAATATTCAAAGTTGCTTTTATTTTTTTTTTCAATAGCAGTAAGGCAACATTTATGGATCAAGTTCAGTTGCATGAAAACCGTATCCGATGGTAATTTTAGGCGTATTACTCATGTTAAAAATGGTACCATAGGAAGAACTGTGGGTATTTACTTTGTAGGCATTTCGACCTCTTTTAGTTTCGGTTCCCCTAATAAACTACTATTACTCTAGGAAACGAGTTTATCTTTCCTCGAGTTCAAAATTTCTCATATCACCTTGAATTGCGCTTCATAAAGACTTTCATGTAACTATGAAAATTTATGATTTAATTTTTCTTCCTACGAGAAGCTAAAAAACTTTACCGCGTGGCTCGCAATTTATAAATTTTCTTTTCAACCGCGAGGTTTTCGTTTATCTGATCAGAATTTGTCTACTTTAATTCAATCATTTGCATATTTAGTTTTCCCAAGGTAGAATTCCGAATTTAATTAAAAACACAGAGAATCAAAGTACCAATTATGAGGCATTTGAATGAAAACCTCTTGTTAGGACAATCAGAATATCTACGTATCACATGTGCCTCACGCACAAAAAACTCTGAAACTTTTTCTGCAGCATAATGAAAGTGGAATACATTTTTAGTAATTTTTAAATTATAGTACAGGTATAGTTACCGAAGACGAAATCGTGTTGCGATGATAAAATGCAAAATATCAGACCTCAGATCTAAGATGAGGGATACATTCAATGAATGATAAGCATACGAGAAGAAACTGATGAATGGGTACAATCAATGAATATATGAGTTGAAAATGAAGGTTCTATGCAAGCTGGAGGAAACACTAACTCTCAAGATTCAAAGTTACGATTAGATTTAGCTAAGTCTAAAACTTACGGGTCATCAGGCGTTAACTGAACTGGCTCCAGGGTGAAAAATGGGTCAAAATTACTCAAATCCAGTTCGGAATCGAGTTCAGGCTGATATGGTGTTGGAATTTGTTTATCGTACAACTGTAATATGATAAATTTTCCGTAAATTTTACACTTTAATCGCTTATCTTAAAAGTTTTCTATTTTCCTTTTCTCAGCCAGGAAATCACAACACCTGGCAATCAGGTGTCTTACTTGTCTCCCTCTCTCTCGTTACTTCTCTTATCTCTTTCCTTCCTCCATTACCTATTTAACCTGAATCCCTTTCTCTGACACAAAATTTTTATCCCATACTTATTTTCGAGCTAATAATGTTTCTCCTTGATATCTGCCATGTGTATATTGAATTAAGGTAAAGTAAGCCCTCTTGGAGAATGCAAGGATTATTTTTTTCTGTTCTTTTTTTCTTTTACGTGCATTTTCTATTGCCCAGACAGTTGAAAAATAACTTATGCATGCTGCTGTATCTGTATCATCGAAAAAGCTTACAGGTGCCCACGTAGCGAGAGCTCTTCATTCCTGATAATCTCAATTGTGAGTAAATTTTTTTTATAATCTCGAAAAAATTATGACCCAGATAGCCGAGTTATTGCTAGTAAGTTTTCAATACATAACAAGTAATCAGTTTTCAATTTTTGCGTCGCTTCTATCATTTCATGTCCATTAAAATGGCATGTCAAAGCCAACTGATCGGGTGAACACTGTAAACGGCTCTCTCATCTGTGAGGGATAGAATCAATTTAATATTTAGATGCTTACCATAATCCAATCAATGTTTCTAAAGAAGGCATGGCTTTCAATATCTTTGAATCCATCTGGAAGACAACCTAATCTCTCTGCAGGATTCTTTTGCAAGAAGCCTCGGAGAGCTGAACGAGCTTTTACAGAAAGTGACCTAGGAATCCGAATATTTTGCTCCAAAATTACTGCAAAAAGAAAAGATAAGTGTAATGGATAGTCACTTAAATTAGAAATATATTGTTAAAACTCAGCTAAGAACAGCAAATATGTTGAGGAAAAGTAATTTTTATCAACGCAGAATTTATTGAAGAACAGCTGATTACTTTGTACTGGAGACATTTCCTTCATAATCAATTTTAAATTTTTGTTATGCAGTTTTCCTGGTTGGCGAAACGTCAGATGTAAATCTGGATGTTTCCTTGAAACCGTTGAAACCAATTTGTACAGATCAGATGAAAAATCCACTCCAGTGAATCCACCCTGCCTCATAGAAAACTATTTGTCTAAGAGGGCGTAAAGTATCTCATGGATTCTTCAACTTATAGGTGCCTGTTACGTTTTTTATGCGCAAAGTCCCGAGTCGGGTCAAGACCCGTATTTAAATACATAGATCTAGATAGTTTTTGAAGTACTATCTATTTCCATCTTCTTACAGGCGAGAAATACTTGTTTAAAATGTTTCACATTTCTGGTTATATACTGACCCTTTCTAATCCCCTTCCCCTCATCCACCATTGGTAATACCTCCCTCCCCTCCAAAGAGACAGTAGGGTCAATTCGACCCGACTATTGAGATTTCTAGGGATGGTCGTCAAAAAGGCGCATGTGGAAATTGGGATACACCCTTACGCTACAGGAGCGTCGACATAAGGGTTAGTTACCAATTAATTGTAATTGTAACTGAATCATGATCAAAATATAGATATTCGAGGGAACAGTTAAACATACAGCCAACCTATTCGGCCCGTAAAAGCTACGGGACGAATCAAAGAATAAAAAGAGGATTATTTGGTGGCGTAAATTATAACTTGAGTGAATATCGTGGATTATGTTGTGATTTCATTCACTATCATCCCATTTCAGAGTAAACTTAATTTTGAAAATCCGAACGGAATGAAAATGAATCTGATTAAGTAAACTATACATGTTACCTTTTCTACTTTCATTTGTATTTGGAGAATTTACCTTGGAAGAGATAATCCTCTGTATTTTGCTCGGGATTATCTGCTGCACCGGAAACATCGAACGGACTTCGACCGACCATCATTTCGTATAATAGTATGCCTAACGCCCACCAATCAACACTGAAACAAAGTGGACAGTATTTGTAATTTTGAAATGATCTTGAATAACAGCTCAGCACGATCAACACCATCACCATGATGGAATTCTTCTGACACTTGGATTTTGAAGGTAAAGAACGATGCCGTCTAACTGACGATTTTGGCAAAAATGAGTCAGCGATTTTGCCGCATTTTACAGTACACAATACCTAAGCTGATGTTTCTGGTTTTTCAAATTCCGCATAGAAGTGCTGTGAAGACGCTGTGCGATGTATACAAAAATTGCAAAGCGAACCTCAGAATTACAAAACTAGCGAAGTTTTTCCTTCGTACCAGAAAATATTCAGTTTGCAGATAGACGGTATCGTTCATTGACCATCAATTTACTTTTATGAAATCTAAAAGTGTGAGCTTTTGACAGTTTATAATGGCGTGCCTCAAGACAGGTCTGCACGCTTGTTTTTAAGCAAGACTACTAGCGACAATTGACTCCAAAAAAGAAAAGTGAAAGCCTGATAACATATGTATTTTTATCCCATCTGTGACATGGCTCCGTGGAGGAAACCTTGGTCCACAGAACTAAAATTGCATTATTATTGACAAAAGCATAGAGAAGTGCCCCACGGACATTTTGGGACCAAAAATGCCAAATCTAATCGGAGTGACGGACGTTCGAAGTTTGCAGTTCGAAAAAGTATACCCTCAAGAAACGAGATTTGAAATTCTAATTTGCTATATACGTACAGGACACAAAATTTTAGGGATATCTTGAGACTGTTACGCTCTCTATTGGTAAAAGTGGTGGCGTGTCACCATAGTGATTTTCCATCATAACGAATTAGATCCAAGCATAACATCTTTCAATGCAATCAACGAGAACAAAGTAGTATGTTCATGTTGCTTTTCTGTGACGTAACATTAATATCTTTCAATTGCGGAACAAAAATGGATGAAATTGCTCCCAATTTATTCTTTACGAAATCTGGATGTATTTATACTGAAAGGAACTAGATTGTAGGCGAATCTTATGCAATACTTCCTTTTGGCATAATATGTCTATTTAAAAGAGATTTTCATCCAAATCTGAAAGTCCAATTTTCAGGCTCAACTCAACAAAAATTGTTTATTCTCCTCTATAGTAAAAATCTCTCTGCGTGAGCTTCGAAAAATATGGAACTATGCGAAGGACAGGCCTCATGGAATTGAGATACGTTTTCACCTTAGAGGAGCGACGATTAGTCCCGTGTACTATCTCCATTTTTTCCTTCGACGGTCACTTTCAATGCACGCGAAACTACAAAAACGCTTATTTTGTTTTCAAGAGTTTCAAAATCTCCGTCCTAATTTTATTCTATGAAAGGAAAACAAATCACATTATTGCTTAAAATTTCCTCAGAATATTCTTCACGTACAAAAGAAAATCTAGGGCAGTTTTAAAGACATGACGTTTGGTTTTAAACCGTACGTTTGGTTGACGTTTCGTACCTGAAAATTAAATTATTACAGGAAGTCTGCGGTGTCGCGAACCGAGCTAGGCGTTTTTACAGCTTTACTAATGATACATCGTTGACTAATTCAATCATCAATTAATTTGACATTATTATTACTATACAATTCCGTCGATGAATGAGCAGCGGACTGTTTTTTGAAATAGATAGAAAAACAATATAAAAAAAAGACAAGTGGAAGATGGAGCATTCGTGTTGGTTGGAACGGTTGGTTGTTTTAGAATGAGGGGGGCAATGATGGACTGACTAAAGGGTCTCTCATGGGTTTGCCATTAGTTAGTCTAAGTCTATTACTTACCTCATTTGTCCATTGCAACCACTCGCCTCCGCCTATAGGACCACTCTCTACTCTCCCTTTGTCTATCATTTCAAAAATCACCCCACTGTTGTGTTATAGAGGATCGTAGTGGGAGCATTTGAATTTGTTTAAAAAAATGGCGTGTTAGAATGTTTAACACTCGGTTAAGAAGGGATGAAAAATTCGGGAAGGTTAGGGGAAGGTCGTCTTTTGCGGTTGGCGCCCTGTTCGTTGATTTGCAGACTTAGTACCTGCGGCTATTGCCACCTTCGACGAATAATTAGGATACGTTTTTAAAAAAGGGACTGTTATTTCTAACTCAATTTTGAAACAGCATACGTTCTATTAGTTTTTCTAAGAAGGTGGGTGTTTCTGTGGATGAGCCAAAAAGAGTAGTTTCTCATCGCAAAATGTATAGGTCCATTCGTCGAATGTTTCCCACTAAATCAGGTTGATGGGATTTCCATCCACATCAGCCGCCTATTGGAAACTATCTATCGTCTGCTCATTGATGAAGCGTTACTGAGCAGAAAAGATCTAGCTACACAGAAAATTTCGAGGAAAAGGTGTACAAAGTCCCTCTTACTTGATGAGTTAGTATTTTGTAAATTAAGATCTTCATTGTATATAGATTGAATAAGAGCGTTTATGCTTTTGCCATATCCTTTTTTGTCTTACTATTGTATTTGACGGGTAGAATTGATGATTCTTTGAACTTCAGATCAATTTTAATTACAGTTCCTCTCTTCTTAATAAGTTTTTTGTAACAATTTCCTATCCTCTGGTGTCAATAACTTAACACAAAGTCCAATTTTGTTTGACTTTGGTGTACATATTGAAAATCATGAATATTCTCTCTAATGTATGGAGGTTTAATCTTAATTTTTCGCCAGTCAGGATTTTGGGTAATTACCTAAAACTATAATCTTCGCCCCGTAAAATTTCCGGAGCTATGTAATTTGGAGTGCCGCAAAACGTGGATGTCGTATCACCAGGACCAATTCCTTCTTTACACATTCCATAGTCCGTTAATTTGATGTGTCCTTCATGATCTAATAAAACATTGTCTAATTTCAAATCCCTATAAATAATACCTGTAACAAAGGAACATTTTATGTGAGAAAATAAGAGACAATTTAAAGATTGAAGAAAAACTAATTGTGATGAAACAGTGTTCGGTTAAAATATCTCATAGATTCAGCACTTTCAGAAGCTGTTCTTGCATACTGTTGGTTTCAATCATCATAGTTCAAAATTTTTTTAAATTAAGGAAAATTTGACGTTAATGGGTGTGATCTCTTGTATTTTCTGTATCACATAACAAGAAATCAAAGCACATAAGCCTCGAACCGACAGAAAGAAGGCTGCTATGGGATTGCGCGAATTTTTCTGGTGCTAAAAACTTGCATATTTGCGCGAATATTCAATTTTCAAAGAGGAAGCGTTAGTCTGGCAACCATGGTAGTTTGTGGTAGATTGCTACATCGCGTAAGACTGTTCATTCCCTATTCATTTACGGATATGTCTCTCTTCGATAGATAGCCCTCGCAGCACGAATGGCCCAGAGAGCTTTCGTAGACATTTAAAAAGTGAAAAGGTCAACTGACCGACTGCACTGCGTTTGGCGCAATGCGAGAAGTATTCATGCAGTCTTGTAGGCGCTGATATGGGCTGCACGCTGAACGCACTATTTGGCGCAATGTGTGAAGTATTCCTACAGTCTTGCAGGCGCTAATATACGTTTAACGTCGGCTGCACTGTTGGGTGCGATTATCCGAACTCTCGTTCCAATAATCGCGGCATTGAATAATAGAACTTAAAAGGCCCATGTTGTATTTTGACGCCGCATAAGCATTTCAACGTTGCCTCGTTTCTCCCGAGTAAATATTTTTCTCCGAGAAAAGTCAGGTAAGTTTTTTATACCCTCGACCAATATTCAATCATATCACTTCATTTATCATCAGAGGGTAAGACATCGATGATTTTTCAACAAACCTAAACTAGCGTAACATAATGATGCGTTTATTTTCCAATTGTTTCCTGCTTTGCCAAACTTCTACCTTAAATTAACTTCATTTTAAAATTTGCGCATTCCTGTAGCAGATGTTAAGGTTTCTATTCACCCAATCTTTGTGCCTTTTTCGCACAATCCTTAAATATTTCCTTAGACGTTTCGCGCAATTCTAGATTACCGAGAAAGAAGTTTGAAGTCTGATACCTACTCTCTGAAACACTTAGACAAGGAAAAATTTCAATGTCTATTTTTACATTCTATATATTGACGGTGAAAGTCGGCAATCACATAACTCGGTTTGCGACGTCGCAGACTTCCTGTCATACTTTATTTTTTAAATGGAAAACTACTCAACGGCAATTCTTTAAAACTGTCATGATTTTTCTTCTCAATGCGATGAAAATTCTGCAAAAACTTCAAGAAATAATATCAATTTGTTCTCCTTTAAAAAAATGACGTAGAGGCGGAGATTTTCAGACACCGCAAACGAGTTATGTGATTGCCGACTTTCACCGTCGATATGTACCCTCGACTTTGCATTTTCCACAGGAAAGAATGCGCCTCATTTTGTTACAAAACTGGCTCACAAAAAGTTCGATTTCAAAGGCTTATTGCGCCAAGAACCTCTAACCAAATGGACTAAATTTCGCAATTCGTAACTAAAATTTCTGGCTCAATCGAGAAAGAGCGTATGTTCCATTATTTTCCCTGTGTACATGAGTGTTTTTACGGATGAGCTAGAAATTGTAGTTCCAAATTACAAAATTAAGTCAAATTGATAATAACGAAACTTGGTCAGCGCCGGATTCTTTGGTTTCTAGTGCAGGGTCCTGTCTCACCTTTACTATGTAGATAATTGAGAGCTAAGCTAATTTCTGCGGCGTAGAATCGCGCATGATCCTCCGGCAAACGGCCCTGCCGTTGCATATGGAACATGAGATCGCCGCCGCGAACGAACTCTATCACAAAAAATAGCCGACTTGGAGTTTGGAAACACGAGTGCATTCCCACTAGGAACGGATGGTTCGACGCCGTCTCAAACACGTGCTTCTCCGTTTGAACCCAGTCGATGTCCTGGAAAATAGAAAAAAAGTGTTATCATTAGAAAATGTAAAAGTCAGGGGGTCCTCCTCTTGGGACTTCGCCTAATGGCTGAAGGGTCTCCTTTTCAGGGCTCTGCCCTGCCCCCATATCGATATTGTAGGTCTACGTCCTTCATAGGCCACAGTAGATAGTGCAAGAAAGTATGTTCTACATACAAAGATGCAACTCGTTCTAGGCCTCTGGAATTTTTCAGGAAACTTCCGTGATTCTTTGCGACAAGCGGATTCTGCAAAGAGGTCAACACGACGCTCTCATCGGAATGCTGTCAAATTTTTTAATAATTTTAGGATTTATGCAAAAGTCTTTATTATTCCACACGAGTTGAAAATCTGAAAACCTTAAAAAAAAAAAAAAAACAATCTCTCAGCCTCTACAATTTTCAAGGCACTTCCCCTGATTGGGTCACGACCACATAATTTATGTAAGAGTCTTTATTATTCCACACGAGTTGAAAATCTGAAAACCTTAAAAAACAATCTCTCAGCCTCCAAAATTTTCAAGGCACTTCCCCTGATTGGGTCACGACCGCATAGTAGCGCGGTCGAGAGTGATTCGTACCACTGTCAACATATTTCGGTAGCATTTGCTTCATATTTCCAAGAGAACACAATGCACTTAATTGAACGTTTAAACATTATGTAAAAAGATCTCAACCGTTAATACTCAAACCAACCTATCTTCATGCTAGGACGACGTATGAATGCAATGAGGGACACATTTTGTTATCAAAGGCGGAAAAATTGAGAGCGCTCCGGAATTTTCAATGGCTAGGTTTGCATTCAATATTCAACTATTCCTGTGGGTGTCCGTGTCGCATACACAAAAATCAGCAGGCGCTGTGGTTTTCTGAGGCACAACATATGGCTGTATGGTTGTTCGTTTTCTAGGGTAATCTACGTTACATATTTTACAATCGTACTCGCCATGAAATTTTGGAATTTCGGATGAACTGCGTAGCGTAACCCCATAGCAGCGTTACCAAATGGTGGAAATTGCGGAATTGTTATGGGTGCATGGTAATTTTGCGGGACTGGTGTGCGCAATGCCATTGGGGAAATGTTTTTTTTATAGAAAATGTGCACCATTTGGCAACTCCATCTGATGCGATACAGTACATCCAAACTCCAAGAATTTCATGGTAAACACAATTTTAAATTCAACGTAGAGATCCCTTGAGAACTAACAATCGCAGCCATAACGCCTGTGATTTTTTGTGTACGCAACACGGACATCTCGAGAACACGAATGGTTGCATAAAGCGAGCCATTGAAAGAACCGAAGCGCCTTCAATTTTTTCCGCCGGTGATGACAAAGTGCACGTCGTTGCCTGAGGATAGGATATTTTGAGTATTAAATCAAATTTTAGTGATTTGACTAGTGACTATGATTTGACTAGTGATAAGATTTTTATTGTTTTAGCGACATGCTTTCTGACAAAAATTCTAATCACAAGCATTTCTAAGCACGAAGTTGGTCCGCCATAAATATAAATATTTAATACTTACACAAATGTCTACACAAATATTTACACACAGTATTATCATGCACAAGTGTTTGCTCGGGATTGCGTCTTCCGTTCCTCCTGGAGAGCCCCGGTTGGTACCCAGGCTTACAATTTGTAATAAGTTTTGTGGATGAGTTGTGGAAATAAGTGTTGTAGTAAATGACTTGGAAATACTCTCGGTTTAAAGTGTGTGCGACTAACGGATGTAATGCGTCATCATTTAAAGAATCTCTTATCAGTTTTTGAATCCGGGATTACTTTTGCTCCAGTTCCGACTACTTCCTACTATCGATGTGACATCAGTGCGAACTTCAGTGCCTCACGATATACACGCGTAGTTCAATTATTTTAGAGTGCTTGACTGTGATCCTTTAGGATGGGTATTTTGGATAATCGTGTTGAAAGTAACTACTCTGAGCGAAATGGAAACATCTATCTACAGATAGACTCGTTACCGTACAAGGATTTTTCATAGTCGCCCTTTTCGCCTTGTTTATATTTTATTTGGTACGTAAGTGGTGTGTCCGTAACGAACAACAGCATGTGCAAAGTGCTACGGCCCTGCGGGCCCTGTTGGCGAACGGGGTCTCCTCCGCCTGCTAAGGTTCTTTCGGTGAGTTCTGTATGTAGTGTCTAACAAAGTTTGTGTTAGTTTTCTCTAGATTGGCAGTTAGGGGGAAGGGTAGAGGTTTTCTCTTCCCTCCCCCTTGTTAACGCAGGGGATCTGTCTGTGGATTTGGGGCTTGGCGCTCCCCCGTACCCGAGTTAGCCGGCAAATTGCTAGAGATAGTCGGTCACTCTTTACCCCCGTAGACTGTCACCTAGGTGACTTTCTCGGGCTTCTCCCCCCGCCTTCGGGCGGGTTTGGCACCCCCTGATGACGCCGCTTCTCTGTGCCTGCGTCCTCGGTTGTTTGCCCATATCCTGTCTGATCCACGGCGCACAGATCAAGCGGAATCGTTGACGTGTCTGGCTCCGTGATTCCCGCGCCCCCCAGGATTTCGGAATGCGGACCTTGAGTCCGCGCATCCGTCCCTGGTGGTTGGCGGGGGCTGAAAGCGGGCCGGACCGGAGGAGCAAGTCAAGTTTTGACTAGTGCTTCGGAAGGGGATGGCCGGCCGCGTCCCTCGCTACTAGTAGGGAGGGGCGCTGCGAAGTCTGGGTCCCATGGGTGGAGTGGGTAGGACTTGGAGTGTCGGCGTATGACAGGACTCCTTGGAGTCCTGGCCGAGTGCCACCTGGAATCCCCCACACACTCACGGGAGGGAACCTTTCCGCTTCAGAGGTCCCAGTGCTGACGGACCCCTAGGGGTACGGATTCCCATCCTTAGAGCTGCTGGGAGGTTTAAATCCCTCCTGGCGGGGGTTAGGTACTCCGGAGGCATCGGGGTACTCCTATGAGGATGGGGGCCCGGCTGGACATTGTTGCGGGGGGCCCTCTCGCCTGACGAGGTAATGACCGCAGGTTGACCGTTGGGTGGGAATTCAACTCGGACAAAAGGGGATGCGTAGTGCGGATGCATCTCAAGGGGAGTGTTGTTAGTGTTTGGCGGGCCCACCGTCATAGGCCAAACCCACATAACCATTCACACTCCCAGGCCGAGGTCTCCGGGCAGCGGTGCCCGGGACGTTACACTCGGTCTGGGCCGCGATTGGTATCTGGTCTCCCGGGAGCGGGTCTGGAAAACCCCCCCGGGGCCCGCCGGATCTGGGGGCACTGGATCCACGGATCTGGTTCCCCCTCAATCCAGTGCGGGAGAAAGCAGATTTTCACTTCCGTTTAAACAAAAAAAAAAAAAAAAAAAAAAAAAAAAAAAAAAAAAAAAAAGCACGAAGTATCTTGAATGCAAAAATATCCAATGTTTTGGCCGGAGAAAAAATCGCATCATCATCATTCATCTTCTCCCGACGTATCTTGGTTGGGTAGAATTTCTTGAAAGTATGTAACTACTCATATGTTCCAATTACTCACCTCATCGTCCGTCACAAGTGCTTTGTGGATGACTTTCATAGCATAAATTTGCTCAGTTTTCTTCAGTTCTACCATTAATACTTTGGCGTAGCTACCTCGTCCAATTACTCTAATTAATTCGAAGTCATCTAATGAATATGAATAATGTCTTTGAGCAGAGTCAGATTCAAAATCGTCTTCATTAGCTGGAAAAGACAAAACAGAGAACTTAGAGTGATTTGGTATCCGAAAAGTATTAGAAAAAGGGAAATATGAAAATGCAGGTGCGTATAGTAAAATATCTCAACTATGACTAACTTTTTAAGAAATTGTTAAATTTTTCATCAAACGCGCAACCGTCGACAAGCAAACCATTCCGAAGCCTCATGCTTTGTCACATCCTGATCTAGCTCACTTTACACGGGTTTCATTTTGGCTGTGTTCTGGAAGGGAAGCATTACATGCCGAGACTAAGCGACCAAAAGTTCAGTGAACCTCGAATTATTTTCTACAATGAACCACTAAAGAAATGCGAAGGTAAGCACTTTAAGATATGTCACCTTATCAAAAGTTTACGTAAAATACGCTAAATTTTCTAAAAAAATTCTAAAATAGACTGATGAAAGAGAAACCAGTTTCCATGGTTTTTATTTGAATCAGTAAATTTAAACTTTCCGTCCACAAAAGAAAAAAAACAAAATATGATTTGAAAAAGAAGTAAAATCGAATTTTACAAAGCTTGTCTTCTAATCTCAAACGCCACGTATGCAAAAAAAAGGAAAACTTTTTGGACACACATGATAACCTACTTTTGATAATGTCCGATATTTCCTCCTGAGTGACGGGTTCCGAGTTAACGTCCGATGAGGAGTCTGTCAGTTCAGGGATGTGCTGATGTAGGGGTGTACCTGAAGGGGTAAAAATAATTCCTTAATTACAAGCGCCAATTAATACATTTTGTCTCACGTTGACTAGTGTGTACACATGTTTTGGTTCCCTTTTGTATAAATAGGATCTACCACATACATGTGTTCTTCAATTTTAAAAGATGTAGTTTCCTACTCCTAATTTTATGACAATAATTAGAAATTTCTCAGGGTTATATCAATAATCCATTTGTTTTGTCTTGCAAACTTGTAACGTTATTTAATTAATAACGTTAGTATTATGAAATGTTAATTTTACGTTACGAGTATTAGGCTTTGGATCCATTATTTTAACAACTGCATGATTTACAAGAATCTTGATTAAATTATTCAAATTGGACTCCTTCCTCCTTCCCGTAAGCATCAACTTACAATTTTTTATTCATGATTTGCAAGAGAAGGACAATTAATTATGATGCCAAAAAGACTAATAAATTCGCCCTTTAAGTGTCCGCCATTTACGTTTTTTGTTGATATCCAGTTCTTTAGGGACCAATATTGTGAATACATTCTTTAGGAGTCAAAACTGTAGGCGTATCTAGCTTTCTCGTCAATTTTTCGAAATCAGGAATTGATGGAAACAGGATAAAGAATTAAAATGTAATAGATGATAAGTAAACAATAATGAAAATAACGAGAGTTTTAAAAATATTTACTTATTTCGGGAATTGAATCACTGTTGGCGTCCTCCGGTTTGTCATTAACCTCGGCGTCTTCATGCGTGCAAGGCCGCTCGATGAGTTTATGGCATTTTTTATGGATCATAAGCTTGCATTCTAAGCACTTGAAGCCTTGTTTCCCGAGACCCCAAATCCTGTCGTGACAGTAAGCACACAATGCTCCCTGAAAATAAAGCAAAAGTTGAAGTTGAAAAATTGGAAGTTCCAAAGTCGCTGAGCATGACAGCAATGACGATGATCTATTATAATTTTGAACCTGAAACGGCTCAGCAGAAAGCAGTCCAAAACTGCATTTCTTGTCTTGAGATGGACCGCAGTTTGTATGATAAGGAACCACCATTTTTATTCATTTTAGAAACAACATATGTAGTCTGAGTTTATTCATGCACGCTGAGAAAAAAGCATGGCTGTATGATAGAGCTTCGCTGCGGTGCTAAGGAAAAATGTCGTATGATCATTTAAGTGTTGACAAATTTATTCTCAGAAAATACCTATTTTAGAGGATAGTTATGAATATTTCTCATTGAAATTTTCAAATACTTAAGATCAAATTACAAACGAAATTACCTAAAAATTTGGAAGAAAAATGCTCACAAGTTTCCCCCAAGATGTTTGTTCTGTTAGAGGAAGTTTGGCAACGTTTGATAGCTCATACGACGTTTTTCCTTAGCGTGGTAGTTCGGTTCATATTGAACACCAAACCATTTTGTTTCAGGTAACGGAAGTTTTCAGTCTTCGGGACCGGATTCCGGTGAGCTGAATCGAAAAATGCTTCATAAGAATCTAAAAATTTTTTCTTCGTGCAGATACGTTTTTCATGTTTGTTATAAAATGGAGCCCGAGCTTCTTATCTTATTACTTTTCTTGCCCGCTTGTGTGAAGACGATATAAACTGAAAGTAAGTTGAAATCATCCGACATCTCTCAGGATGCAGCTGAAGGAGGAGAACGGGGGAAGGAGAAATAGAAAAGGGAAGTGAGAGGGGGAGCTTGAAGCGAAGTTGTGAAAGTGAAGTTCTCAACTGTGTCACAGCTAATTGTGACAAGCTTCGAGATATTACAGTTTCCTCTGCTTAGTCTTCGGCACAGCTGGCAAGACCCGGAGATAACGTGCCACTTAATTAGTGCCAGGTATTTACAACTCATTACCCGCCACTTTTGCCCTCTCGTTAGCGCTCACCCCTTCAGCTCCCCATTTCCGTATTTTCACCTGTACTTTTGATTTATTTTTTACCCTTAACGTGTGTTGGTTACAAGGTTTTTTGAGGCCTTCCAGAGTGCGGAATGCGGATGTCCCGCATTGGTGCAGTGCGTAAAAGGAAAAACCCCTAAAAAAGACGGAGCAAATTCAGGGTTTCTATCCGATTTGTATTTTGATAAAAATCGCCCAGTCTCTTACAAGAAAGGAAATTCAACGAAATTCAAGCTGGGGGACTTTTAACTGGACTACATTTTGCAATTTGGAACTATAAATTCTAGCCCGGTTTAAAAACAGCGTATGTGCCATTAGTTTCCCTATACACATAAGTGTTTTTCCAGAAGAGCCAGAATTTATGGTTCAAAATTACAAAATGCGGTCCAACTCATACTTGTACGCGTATGGTTGTAAAACAATCTGATTTCATGATCTAAAAAATATGTGAACGGCTATAAAAATGAAATATATGGAGATGATGCGTTTTGACCCATAAAAATTTCTAAAAAAAAAGGGGGACGGATAGAAAAACTTTCACATGAAATTTAAATATGTTTCCCCGACTGAAGGAACAGAGGGAAAAGAAAATCATATTTTTTAGGCTACATAATTAAATTTCAGACAAAAACTAACCGGATACGTCCGATATCAGTTGGTTTTTAGGCGAGATTTGAGCCAAAAAACATAATTGTATCGAAAAGGAATCATGAAACACGCGATGCCTATACGTATGAATGGTACATTTCGATTTAATTCATCTCCACATGGCTCTTTTTAATGTAATAAGGTTTAACAAAATTGACGGTGAGGATTGAATGCATCAATTCTTGGTTGACGGGTTTTCGGGTTGCGCAAAACGTGGAGGCACGTTGATTTAAAATTCCCCAGTAGTTTACTCATTACTAAAAATGGTCGGTGGCACCGCTTGGATCCGACTTCATGTGTTCGGCGGCTATTCTCGTTTTATAAATAAAAATAGAGGCGCGCTAGATAGAATTGTGCTCACAGAATAGACCACAAAATAGGGTACAAGATTGATTACTAGAGCACTGAATTTCGCACCAAAATTTCAAGCAGAAGACGTTGAAAATATTGAAACTTTCAAACTGATCACATAAAAGAGAAATAAACGCTCGGTGCCAGTGGCGTGGCGTGAATGATCGATTATCGATATCTCGCCATTTGAAGCTATGGTAAAGAATCGATTACTAAGGTGTTCGCTGCGAACCATCTAATAATCGATCTATTTTCATAGGTTTGAGTGGTGTATCAATCGATATATTGCAAAGCACGCCACGCCACTTCTCGGTATTTATCCAGAGCGTATGCCGAGGCCTCTTCTCATGGGTCTATACTGCCGCGCTAACGAAAAACGCCGTATGAACATTCGAGAGTGGCCAAATGACTCCGGATAAAACATGTATTTTTGACGAAAGTTATGCTTATTTTTCTCCGAAGTTTTCATACATTTTCGATGGAATTGAGAACAAAATTGACTGAACATTAAAAAAAAAAAGAGTGATGAAAATTTTCCCCGGTAAAGTCACTCAAGTCGTTGACGCGCATCATACCATCTGTTTCCCTTGCAAAAGTGGTTCATGTTTCGTTTCGTTTCGTCACGAGACGTGCTGTATCTGAACATGTGGCATCAAACGAGATTGAAGCGAATAATGATCAGAGGAATCCTTGCCGTGAGCGGAGGCTGAATTGCGACCTCTCTTGCCGAAGATTCCTTGCGCAAATACGAGAAAGAAGTAGGCACCGCACTCTGGGCCAATGTTGGGCTGTAACTGGATGTATTTCTGCTAAAAGGAACTATGTTGCACGCAAACCCTTGCACATCGTTCCTTTTAACCATAGTTCCTTTTCCCTTTTTTTACAGTTTTTTATAAGTTCAACTTAGCAGTTGATTTTCCATGACGTTCAGCAAAAGCTAGAGTTGAGAAGAAATAATGCACGTTTTTCTTTGAGTTTTGCACAAAAGTTTATCATCGATTATATCTACAATATCTGTGTATTCAAAAGGAACATATTTAAAACATATCTTCGAATAAATATGTTTAGAAGGAATCAAGCAACTATCGAATGTTCATACGGAGTTCTGCCCTGTGACGGCTGCGGGCTGACTATTGAATTTGAGAGACGCAGGGAAAATGGAACGAACCTATTGGTTGAAATGGGTGGTTGTTGTTGAAAGTTGAATGTACAAGAATGTTGGAAAAGTACCCTACAAGTCCTAAAGGTCCCATCAATTGTTATTTCCATTTTATTTACTTTTTTCAAGCACTACTAAATGGAGTTGCGAAACTGATGTGCGAGAACGCAGCGAAACGCCTTCAAATGCGCTTGATACCCTAAGCTTCACCGCGGAGTTAGTTTAGTTGCTTAACCCAACCAAACCTAACTTGGCTTGATACTCCTCATCGCCCGCTGTTCGGAGCGTAAATAATTATAACTAACAAATGGCAAAAATGTAAACAAGACAAATCAATTTGCTTTGTTTACATACCATAAGGTCAATTGAACTTATGACGGGAATAAAACTGGCGCTGACACATAAACCGTAAACAAAACAATATTCGTCATTGGTTTAAATAAGTTTCTCGATGAAGTTCAGAGACTTTTATTAACACGACTGCAATCTTTCAATTACCGTTCTTTTCATCAGTATGTTGTATAGAAAGGGACGCCGATCAAAAAATTCCAGCAGGCTGATTATTAAAATTGATAGACTAAGCGATAGACAAAGGAGAAGACGGGAACAAGGATCGATTCTACAGGTTGAAACGGGTGTTAGCTATGGACTAAGAGAGAAAATGATGGACAAACTACAGGGTGTCTCGTGACTGGTGGGTTGCCGATAGTTGGTATACTACTTTACCTACTTTGTCAATTGCAACCAACCGCTTCTACCAAAATATTCGCTCATTTTTGTTTGTGAGCTCAATTTTGTCTATTGCTTCGTGTATCAATTTCAATGATCAGCGGATCGATTGTTGGATCGTTATCGTATGAACTTGATCGATAAATCCCTTTGTTAGCAATGCTATTTATCGATCAAGATCATCGACAATCGACCAGCATTCCGCACTCGGCTGATTTCTCATTCGTGAGGAGTTTCTCTGGCGGAAGTTCCTCCGAGGAGCTATTTGTGCGGCGACTATTCCTTGAATCCCAAGCAACGAGGCTTATTTGTCGACAATTTCGAAACTTCAACATTTAGCATGGCCAACATTCAGCGTGAAAGGGTGGGGGTAACGGGAGGCGAAAACCTCAAAACTTCTTCACCAAACATTCCTCACCCCCTGCTTTGTCGTCGGGCGCTCCGCGCGCCGCGCCGTCTCCCTTATATTAAATCTTCCAAGTTGAGCTTCCCTGAAATCCGTGCACAATCAACATCTCGATTCAATCTCCACCGTCACATCCATTGCTCAATGTCTTCACCAACATCCAGCTGCCTTTCTTCCTCCCTTATCTATATTTTCCTCCTCACTCGGGGATGTGTTCTCAGTCATTCCTTATACTCAGCTCTCTTCTTAGGAAGCCCCCCGCCCCCCTGAATAGTTTACATTATGATTGAGGGAGGTTCAAGGAGATTTTTTAAGGAGCGTCGTTAAATGGACAATTTTTGCCAACCTCAACAAAAATTCAGCAATATAGATCGTATTTGATACATCAAACGGGTGAGATTGTATCGATATCGATTGGTTCAAAACATAAACATAGCCTTAAAAGTCAATTGAGTAACCTGACGGGACGGGTTTTTTGTGATCGATTTTTGATTCGTATGAGTACTACTTGGCCAAGAATAGTGAAATTGCTTCGAAATTTCTCATTTTCAGCTTTTCTGACAAATATCTTACAATTTTGGTTTGAGGCTATGTTCTATTGTTTTGAACCAAATGATACACCGAATCACAATCGAATACGATCAATAATTCTGCAAATGAGTCCTTGCAAGGAATTTCAATGATTTTCCAATATGCAATTGCAAATTTCATTGATGTTATATCCAATCTCATAGAAAAATCAAACTAATTTCGGACAAAAATTGCACCGGTATATTCTTATAAAATATTGAATTGTTTGAGTCAATTTTGCAACCTTGCGATAAGGTTACGTTCCTTCGTCTGGAAAACTACAAACTTTATATACAGTCTATTTCAATGTCCTTTTTTCGTGATTTTCCCTGCAGTATGGTGACCGTCGATCCTCTAGATCCAGTTTCCGACGATTTACTCTCGTACTTCGCTTGCGGCACGGCGGCTTCGTACAGACATCTATCCGTGTGTTCGTTCCGGTTTTACTGCGGATTGACGGGGCAGAACTTTTCCGGATTCCCAAACTTGTCCATCAAGTCATAAAGTTTATGAGAAGCTGCGTCGAAATATACCAACCGACAACGTTTAGCACGGCTCATTTGCAGAGGGCTCAAAGTGGTGTGTAAATCCCTGTGGTACATACGAGTTTCTTCGATCGAGCAGCTCGAAGACGAGGGGGACGCGAGGGGACGTACGCGCGACGCGACGGACTTGTCAATAAAGTGGACGCGGGAGACTGAGACCGGACCAGACATAAGCGGAAAAAGTCCGATGCTGCCAATTCGCGTCCGGCCAAGTATCTTTCGAGTAAAGGCAAAGACAATATCGAGGGCTAACGAACAATAACGCTTAACTGACAAAGGAAATGTTGCATGTCGACGGTGTAAGTCGGCAATCACATAACTCGTTTTGCGACGTCGCAGACTTCCTGTCATACTTTAATTTTTAAACGGAAAACTACTCAACGACAATTCTTCAAAACTGCCGTGATTTTTCTTCTCTGTGCGAAGAAAATTCTGCAAAAACTTCAAGGAATGATGTCAATTTGTTCTCCTTTAAAAAAATAACATAGAGGCGGAGATTTTCAGACACCGCAAACGAGATATGTGATTGCCGACTTACACCGTCGATGTGTGAGTAATTTGCGATTTGACTGTGGATTCTAATGTAAAAGTTCGCGAGAAACACGATGGCGCCACTGGTCTCTCTGAAATCAACTCCCAAGCTCAAAAAAAGCTCTCAAGTTGAGGCTAAAATGGAGGGGATATCCCATGCTATCCCAAGAGTCGACCTCTACATCAAGACAAACTCTTCGTGCAAAGATAGGGAGCAAATTTTCAGACGGAAAAATTCATCTTTCAAGGGACCATCGTGCGTTGGCACAAACATGCGTTTATTCGCAGGACGGCAGCGCGATCCCGTTCAACTAACGAATTTTGTCGCCCCTCTGGCATAAAGGCGTACCTCTACATCCACGTGAGCCCTGTTTTACATATGAAGCCACGCCTCCTGAGGCTCATGAGATATGTCTTTACGTCAGAGGGACGAGGATTCGCAACGCGGTGTTTGAAATCCCGCCCTCTGGAGGAATCCATCCCCGGTGGGATCTGAAAACTGACAATGCTACGGCCAGACCCCTCACTCGAACGGGTTGCTTCGGGTCCGGTTGAGCCACGAGGTGAACGAGAATACTGGCATTTCGGATCTCATCTGGAATCGGTCATAATCCCTTTCGGGAGCAACCTGTTCATTTCTCCACGGCGGAACAATATCAGCGTCTTGTCTTGCGGCTCCGTTCAATTTATTAAATACCCGGTTTGATGCGTTAATCCGGGGCTTCTGGGGGCTTCGCGTTAGCCGCACGGCACCGCGGACGGGGGGTGATGCGGGGGAAGGGGCTCAGCCGGAGCTTGTGCAGCGTGACGTATCGCGAAGCTCCCCCCTCGAAGCTTTCCCTTTGAAAGTCACGGAAGCTGAAATTTAATATAATTCGTAGCAGTCGAATTTTGATAGGACGGATAAAACAAGAGGGATGATCGGCTGGAAGGCTCACTACTTCAACCTTTAATTTTTTTGTCTGTATTTGCGTGCGACACTTTTAAGATGTGTTTTAAGAGAGTGGACACGCAGCTGATCACTTCAAATAGCGGTTGTAGATATTCCACTAGAATGTAGTTGCTTACTTAAAATTCTGTTTAAGTCAGCATAACGAGGCTGGAAAGACAAATCAGGTATCATACTCGTTGGAAATCTTTAGTGGAAATGTATTGATCTTCATTTTGAAGCTGAAATTTTCGGTTTTTAATGAGCTCAGTTTAAGCTCAGCTAAAGTGTTGAAAGTGAATTAGAGGGAAAAGTTAGGTTAATCCGTGGTAATTCAATCATTGACTAAAATTGGGTGACATTCAAAATGACGGTAACATGATAGAGCCTGACTTAAAAAATAGCATACAGTGAATAAGTAAAAGTTCTCCGAACCTACATTCAGAACGTGGATTCTCATATTCTAAATGAAAATTAAATTATATTTTCTTACCTTATTAAACCGCTTAGGCTGAAAAATGTGACCATTCACGACGTAATATTTTCTCCATCTCCTGGCACCTCGCCGGTAAATACTAGCTGTAACACAAACGAATTAATTAATTAAAAGCTCGCTTAAAGTAAAATTGTTTTCAGAAAATACATTTTTTATCACTACTCAAAAACATAAAAAAGTGTGACTTTCATACGGACTATAGCTCAAAGTATATTCATTTTAATAATGGGATTGAAATTAACACGATCTCAATTGAAACGATCATACACAAATTACCAAAAGAGCACTGGAATAACAAAATATTTGATTGCGAGTTCACGCCTCGTGCCATCGCGCCTTCAACTTTGTAAATGCAACACGGACATCCATCAAGCACGAATAGTTGTATCTATGCGCCGTCAATAACGCGCATCGCGGTGTCTCGTATTATAGTAATCTGGGAAAATTTAAGGTTAAGTTTGCTTAAAGTAAATTATAATGTGTCCAAATCAATAATAATTTTGAAAAAAAAGTAACATAAGAAAATCATTAAAAGTCTCTCAAGCGCCCTGAAGGGTGTGCGTCTAAAAATTGATATTTTGGTTACAGTTATGTCGTGTAAGGGATTTTTTTTGACTATTCCTGAAAATCGTGAGCTGAGTCAAATTGACCTGATTTCTAAGGAAGTTACGTGTTACGACCGACGAGGAGGATGCGTAAGTGCTAGTATGTTAGCAAAAAGGTGCATTTTAAAAAAAAAATTAATATATTTTACCTTCAAAAACATTTAAATAACACGGAGAGGACTTCAAAAACTATTGGAATCAATACGATTAAATTTGAACCGACTCCGGACTGTAAAAGTCTGAGGGTTAAATTAGAAAAGTCTGAGGGTTAATTGATCACACAGATACCTAAAATTATACCGAGAAAATGTACCGAGGGGAAAATCTACATTAGTCGTACAAGAACGATTGTACTTACACAGCTGAGTGAATACAAATGGACTTATTTATACTAAAAGGAACTATGTACATAGGGTTTGCGTGTAACATAGTTCCTTTTAGCATAAATACGTCCAAATGTCAACTTAAATACCTAATAAACCTTTTTCTGGTCTAATCAACCGAAAGCCAGTTTATTGTTTTTAAACGTATAAAGCGCGTAAGTTAAGTATAGTGCCAAGCGGCAAAATCTTATTTTGTAAAGTGAAAAAGCTCCTCCCCCTTATATAGAATCTGATCAATAAAATTGCCTAGATACATTACAACGTCATAATTGTTACCCATTGATTTGAACCTCTATTTTATGAAAGTAAGGAGGGCCCCCCCCCCAGTGAACGTTACTAGTCGATACTTATTTTGATATAAGGAAGGCTTTTATGTGAAAGTTTGCTCAAACTAGAACTTTACTTAATCGTTCCAAAAAGGCTCTTGGATCGATAGTTAATTACTTACGAATGAATACAAATATTGAGCTTCTCGAAAGGGTTGTTGTTAATTATTTATTGTTATTTGTAGGAGTAATGAATTCATTACGGCTCCAGCTTTCATCCTTGCTACGCCACTTCCATGAACAAAGAGTTTATTGATGTTCTGTTTTCGACCGCTCCCTCACACCTCTCTCTCGTTCTACCTCTGGCCTCTGATTTTATCAGGAGAAAAAGTTTGATGAGAGTTGCGAGGTGTTTTCAAAATCCTGCAAATCTAGCATTCAAAATGTATTATTCACGAGTTTGTTTTTTTAACTTTTTCCTCTGCCTCCCAACTTCGGCTGAAATATTATTGATGCCACTTCAAACTTTTATCGATAACCTTCTGGGTCACGGGTTTTCTTTAATGCCGTACTCTCGAACCCTACTTTCTCTCCCCTTCTTTTTCAAATCACCACTTCTGGCTATCCTTTTAGCTTTGCCTCAGAATTTAAGATACTCGTATTTGGATCATAGGGCTTCATTTATTAAAATTTAATTATTTCGCCCATTGACACTCATTCATATAGGTAATTGTCAGCTGGGAAAGGGACTTCAGTCTACAAAATTCAAAATTTAGTCAATGATATCGCAGCATCAGGACCAGATTTACCTACTTACCGCCCATGGGCCGCCTGTATTTTGCCGTCCCTTTTCATTCGTTTTGAAATATCGATACAAACCATCAAGTGGACGTGTCGGAGGAGGAAGGATGCATAAGACGCGTTTACTCGTGTCGGGCACATTTTTTGTGAAAACCCTGTCAACACTAGCAAAAGTTCACGGAACGCTGCGCGAAAATTAAGTTCCGTAAAAATATCTCTGTGTGGACGAGGCCTTTCATTTTTAAGAAGAGTACGAAAAAATTCTGGAAGAATAAACATGAATGTGGTTTAATGATTTTAATTTCCACCACAGCGCCAACCGCACTGTGTTTGGCGCAACGATTGAAGTATTCATGCAGTCTTGTAGGCACTATGAGTTTTACACTGAGAAAAAACTATGGCTTATAAACCTATTAGAGGTAAATATGGAACACCACTAATAGTAGTACCTCTACATATAATAATAGCACATATACCTTAGTTATGGTCTCTGTACCTTAATTAGGTACAGAGACCTTAGTATGGTTCACAGACCGAGAATCATTAGTTTATTTACGACTATTATAGGTGTTCCATATTTACCACTAATAGGTTTATAAACCATAGCTTTTTCTCAGTGTACGCCGACTGCAAGCTGCTGACCGCACTGTTTTTGACGCAATGCGTGAAGTATTCACGGAGTCTTGTAGGCGCTAATATGTGTTACATGCCGATCGCCGCGCCGAGGGCTTCTCCTTTTCATCTCATGTTTCATGCTGACCGGCGCGCCGAGGGCTTCTTCTTTCTATCTCAAGTTCTCCTCATCATTGCACTCTGCGCTGCGCCGCTCCAGTCCAAATTGCTTGTTTGATTTCTCTCTCAACTAGACTAATGAAAGGCGCTGTCCCTTGTATCACCGAAAAACGAACACATTAGAAATTACTGTACTTTAACTAGAGGGGCCCTAAGAGCTACATAAATCGAGTTGTCCATACTCTACCTATAGAGGTACTCTAATTTAAAGTAGCTAAGAAATGAACTGTTGGATTTTTGAAGTGTGTACTTGGCAACTCGGTACCGACGGCGGGGCCTTTACAAGTTCGCGTTATGTGCGCTTAACGTCCTCACAGTTTACGCATTTTCCTTTTCAAATCTTTCGCACACAAATGACGCCGCCCCTTCCTCCGCAGCCCCCCCTCGGCCGCCACTATGCAGCACCCCGGTTTCCGGTTGAGTCCCTTGATGATACCACCGTGTCTGTTTTGAGTCTCTTAAGTATCCGACCTCGCTCTCTCGCAATTTACATCCCGCTCCGAGAAAGAACATCGTATGAGCATTCGAATGTAGCCAAACTTCTCCCTAAAATATGGTAATTGGTTAATATAAAACGCAACACGTAATATTTCAAACTACATGGAGATGTGAAATAATAAAAAACTTACAAGAAACAAAGCAAACGTTTCGACAGCTAACAAACTGCGATCTGCTTCAAGCAAAAGGAACAACTAGTGGAAATATTTTACAAGTAAAAAAAAAAAAAAAACAAGCGGGAAAGTTCTAATACTGTCGTGTTAGAAAAGCGTTCGGGTGTTAGTAAATGTATTTAATGAAGAAAGGACGTATAAACTCCGTCGACTTGGCTTGGAAATGGAAAAAAAAACATCAGCTGATAGCAAACAAAGGTTACCAAGGAAACCGTAAACGCGTATTTTTGTTTCCCGAAAATAAGCTCAACGTTGAGCTCATCAGGCGCGTTTTTTTTAGGCTTCATTTGAGTTCAACGATCAATTTCGATAAGAATTACTCTACCGCTAAGAAATTTTCTTATAGACAAACGATCGAAACTACCTGCGCATTACGTTAAAAGCATAAAATACAGTTTTCACAGCTTTATTTATTTTAAAAATGGACCCCCCCCCCCAAAAAGCCTTCACATCGATGAGCTGGTGCGCCATTTAAACGCATTAGCACTAGTATACTAGTACTCAGAGGCAAGTCGAAATCAAAAAGCGCTGCCTATCGGCTGAGCGCTTAAAAAAAAAAAAAAAAAGGTACAAAACTATTAACAAACTAAGTAAAGCAAAAATACGAATCTATTGCAACTACATCTTGGAATAAAATCAAAATAAGGCAAAATTCATGAGGAAATTGGCTTGTGGCTGGATTTTTTAAAATCAATTACCATGTTCTATGCAGCTTAGCCAGCCAAATTTGGCATTAAAATGTACCTTTCCCTAAATTCTTGCGATAATATATGAATATTTTTCTTGAATTTTCAAGTGCCTCATATAAAATTAAAATTGCAGACATCATATTCAAAGTAAGGCACTAGCAAAAACGGATACTTATTTCATCATATTAAATATGACAACATCGGAACGCTTCAATGACGTTTTTCCGCGGCGTAGAAGCATTGAAAAGCGCCTTTTGAACATTCCGACACCCTCCCGGAAAAATGACTCGCCTCCGAAGTGCACCCGAGGCTGTCTTGTAACACGGCTGCTAACAAGCAATTCACGAATTCGCACGCACGGTCTGAAATATCTCTCGTATCTCTTTCCTCTCCCTCTCTCTTTCTTTCACTCTCTTCTCCTTTCTCTCTCCACCTCTCTTTCAGAATATTTGCTCTTCCACTGACACTTGGAAGATAGAAAATGTCCTTACTGTCATCGAGTACCATTTTGCGGACAATGAAGAATGTGTAGATTTCTAACATTTTATGAATGAAATCTGCTGAGTGATTTACCGCACGAGAATACTCGTATAACCTTGGTTTATACATTTTAGTAATTACTCGAGGGCTACACCTTCTGACTGCCTCGCGCCTTAGGCGTTATGTGTTACGCGTTACGCGTTACATATTACTCTTACGATTTCACATTATTGAGTATGATTAGTGAAGTTATGACAAAAGTATCTAATTTGCTAAAATACATGTGTTTCAATGGGAAATACCACTCTGTGACGCTAACAGGCGGTAAATTCTCTTGTAATTTTAAATTATGTTTTCCTTTGAATTCCCGTATCAGGAAATGTTTCTTCAAAAAAT